GAAGCATAATACAGTTTGCAGAGTAATATTTGTTATATTAAAAAATAAGGATTTTCATATTTATATAAAAGGTGTATCCATGACAAAAAATACCAATCGCAAATAATGAAAAATGTGTCTCCAAGGTGATTTATGTTAATAAACATATAATAGGATAGCAATGAATCACTCTATAAATAAATATTCATAGAATTACTTAGATAGTGATTGGCTGACCTCGTTTTCGTAACTTGGTCGTGTTGTCAGAACAACTTAGTTGGACGCACCTTGTTCGAAATCCTCTCCTATAATAGTTATCATAATTCCCAGCATCGGGCTGTGGCGTTGGTATATTCCTAGAGGTTTCGTTAGCATCGTCAGAGTCTTTCCATTCTCAGCTCGAAACTACAACTTGTCGGAGACAAGTAAAGTCAATTTCTTGACCAACAATCTGCCGAAAAGCTTGTGATGTCGATACTCTTTGTGTCCTGGCCCATTAGCTACTTACTCTATTGCCACACTCCAGCCCTTCCACAACTTCTGATTTGTTTATATTCCAGACCTCAAGAGGAGTGCTCTTTCTGACAATTTTAGTGTGACGTCATCACCTGCTGTTTACCTCCCCTGCCTTTCGAATTGCCAATCCGACTTAAGCTTCCTATCCGGACTTGTAGATCCTTTTATCTTTCCGTTTGACCGATTTCGTTTTACTCCAGGCACTTTCCCGAGCCTGTAAAACCACGTACACGATCGTCTCAACGAAAAGAACGCTTAGTATCTGATTCCCATGCTTGCACATATTAGCCCTTGCCTTCATGGATCTTCTCCTTGATTAGGCCTGTGTACTCTGAGCAAACTGTGGACGTCTAACTCTAGTCACCTTCTGCATCTCGAGTGGATTTCTATTAAGTTTTGACCATGATGCCAAATTTCTGTAATAGTTGTGATTATCTGTCTCCCAATCATGTGACTACCAGGCCCTCAAATTTTAGTTTTTTCATCGAGCAGAGCCCACACAGTGAGAACGTCTTGACTTAAATGCCCAAACTTCCCTGTCTGCTTGTTTCTTGCGATCAATTTTCCTCTAGTTACCGATAAGTCCTTAAACCAGAAGTCTCCTTTCAACTGGTCTTGCCATAACCTTGTTTTATCCGAGTTTGCTTAAGAAATGAGAAAAGTTAACGCTGACTCTGCCTTCTTCCCCAGAAATGGCATTAGCTCCCTAATCTTCCGTTTCTTTGGGTTTTTATCGTATGAGGCTCTTCTTTCAGTGGAATTACAATGTATCTAGTTTTCAATCGGTGTGATGTGTTCCGCTATATCTCATCTTTTGGTATCCATTTCCGTACAGTCATTGATGTTGCATGCTTCGTATGCTAGTTTTTCTTTCTGGTTCGCCAATATATTTCTGATCGCAGGCCCCGCATGCTATGCCGTAAACTCCCGAGCAATATAATCTGTCCATCCTCTCCTATTACGTGGGTAGACTTGTGAAGTGTTATTTTTTCCTTCGTAATCACCTAAATATTCCGTTTTAGGATTTTCCATGGTTTTTGAGCAAGTTAGCAGGATAGTAGGCCTATTCACTATTGTGAGTCTTTCTCGGTCCCTACTGTTATTACATAATCCCAGTCCTGCCATCAGCCTTTCCTAACCAGTATGTTTCTTTGTCTTAATTCGCTTGGGTAACCGCTGCTGATGAATATCCGAGTCTATTTGTCCAATTCTTCATTACATAATTCCACGTCCGGTATTCGTAGGCTTCTGATGATGATCATTCTTCTCATTGTTCATTTATTTAACCTATAATTGTGATGAGACTGGAAATTAAGTATTATTTCGTTGTATGACTTATTTCTTAACAATTTCCTATTGAGCATCTCATTAGAGTGAATGACATAAAAATCCAGGAAAGTTAACCGCTTTTCTTTCTCCACTTCCATTGTGAATTAGATCCTTTCATCAATCTGATCTATCAACTTCAGAAAATCTTCCAGTTTTCAGCTTCCACGAGACTAAAGTGCAAAGTAGTCATCCATATACCACCCAATAGAAACACAATGTCTACTCAGATAATTGTAGGAAAATTCAGCAGCCTGTCTTATTATCAACGAACGAAATAGGATGAATAACCCTAATATAAATGTTTTGTTTGTCAATTGGCTTCACGAAATTATTCTAACATATATATATGTATCAGAGCCTAGCTGTTCAATATAATATAATTTATAAACCTTCCGTAATACCTTGTACAATTTGTGAATCTGTATGCACACTATAAGTTTCTTGCGCCCAGTTTTAACCATCAGTTGATCCTATTCTCTATTAGTGGAAGTAAAGAGAACCATTCGAATGATATACCCATTAAAAGATAACAACTTAGAGACTTTAGGAACTCGACCAGAGGAATATTCAATATTATGATATCGTATAAATCTATTTTCATGGGTCAAAACAAAGATCATTACACTTTTATTTCATAAGAATAATATTACACTAGGTTATAATAACTCGGAACTATAATTGATGGTTTATCATCCGTATACACACATTCATGCCGACACAAACGTGCATACATATAGAATGAACTTAAAATTAGGTAGCCTACTTAAGTTAAATTTTGTCTGTCTAAATATAGCATCTAGAAATAGACCAATCATTTTTGTTGAGTCAGTAAAACTTTTAGGAGAATGAAGTAAGGGGTTACGATGCTTTTCATATGATAGACGAAAACTCAGCACATTTTTACCGGAACAAAAATAGTATTTCATCATTTTGAATTACTCAATAAATTTAACTACAAAATAACAGAGATAATCTGCTATCGTCTTCTATGAAATAAGAATCTTAAATAAAAGTGTTCATATGAAATTAAAATCAATCCAATGTAGAATGAAAAACTCTTTATCTGTATTTAGAAGAGGCTTGAAACTGTGGCAAAAGGCAGCAAGAACAAGCTTACGCAAAACAGCACTATTTATGGTGCTCGCAATGATATCTCTCCAGGCAGGATCTAAAAGACCACGAAGAGGGCAGTCTGGTGAGGTGGGACTGGAGTAAGCAAAGAGGCTGACGGATTGCTGACATTGTACCAAGTGTCGATAGTCAAAATCATAAAAAATATAGAGAAGATTAAACACAAAATGAAATGTATATTAAGAAACTGGCAACGTTAAATGAATCACAAAATTTAAAAAGGCCATGAATAAAGGAATCATAGTGACGCTTTAGTATAAAATAGTGGGGAAACTAGAAATGTCTAATGTCAAACGACTTAGGTAGTGATTACATCCTAAAGGCTAGTAAGTACATCAATAATTTAATAAAAAAGCAATAAGCGTAGCAAACTGGCATGAAAAATTGGATGCAAGTATCAGTGAGAAAAAAGAATTTAACATTACATAATAGGCCTTCGGTAATTTGACAAAATAATGGATTCAATAATATCTTTTAAATATAATGTCTTTTGGTGATTTAGCCCGTAGAACCATAAATAACTGGTAATCGATTTATAAAAGCAATCTTGGATTTGATTTAATCTCATATACGCAACTTACTCCGGGTTCGTAGAACACGCTTAATCCTGAGTTTAATGTCATAGTAATAGTAATTATTTCCCGAATAGGACGTTTGGCTTGGTACGTTTTAAGATGGTTCGTCAGTACCGTCAATGAGAAATGCCAAAGATACAAACTAACATAACTATCCTGAAGAATTTTCTGTTCAGCCGTAATTGCTTCTCTCTTCCTCTTAGCGTTATATTCTTACCACTTAAACCCCCTTCATATAATCAATTTACTTATCTACGCATATACTTAATACCAAGTTAACGATCATATGTGAGAAATTATCATGAACAGTATGTAGCAGAGGGCATAGTCTTGAGCACATTCAAAATAATCTCTCTGTCCCCTCAATCAAGTCAGATAAAAAAAGCCGAAACCAACACTATGCACCTAAAGGAGAATAGGACCAAATCCAAAGCCACGCCATCAACGTATTCATATCTACGATTAAAAACAAGCACTAGGTATATATGTAGGAAAACTAGGTTATGTTATGTAGTTTTGTTTTGGTGCCAGTCATAGCGTTTAGACTCACAGAATACCGAAGAACTGCTTTGGAGTCGTAGCTGTGGATTTACGCAGAGTTCTGAGCCAACCGTCTTTCAGCTCTGATGAATCCACTCACACTTTACATGACTCACGTGCATTGCATACGCACGACACGAGCAGACAACACAATTACATGCATAAAAAGTGCAAGATTAAAAATAAAAACGAACAGACTAGTAATCCGCTGCTCAAACAGAACCACATCCCCTTAGCGTTACAACGATAGACACATCATTTATCTACAAGAATAAAACGGCTAACTAAATCATGAAAGGCCTAGTTAAATTGACAATATCAGACTATAAGAAGTATGATGATTTCAACCGACCGTCTTTCATCTATTCGGGGATTTCGCGTAGATTCCTAATAAACACTCGGAAGGTTTACATCTCATGAAAAACGAAAGCTTAGCACAGATTCATTAGTTGAAGGATGGTTGACCAAGGACTTCTTCACCCAATTCTAGAGTTGCAACTCTAGAAATCGCCAGGAATCTTACTGGTTTATAGCGAGGCTAATTCAAGAATTCCTTTCACTCAAAACATACAGCACGAATACAGGAATTGATTATGGGACTATTAAAGCCTAGCTTCTAATCTCAGCTATACCCTTACCTAGTGGATTCATGCGAGCCCTTTTTCAAACCATCAATAACCGTCATCTGATCAAGATTTTGTGCCTGAAATCCAATATTTGTGATGCAAGCATCGCATTTAGCTAAATGATGTGAGATTTTAATTTATGAATACGAAGTATCAAGTGTGACATGAAGTCTGAAAGACTTCTTGTAAAACAAATGAATCCCTGAAAAAACAAATCATACCATAGGCTGAGTTATTAGCTTAATAGGCGAATAGTTCAAAACTATCAGCTCCATCCCAAAATTGTGAACAATGTTGAGAAGAGATAACTAATTAGTGAGATAAGAAGTCAACTAAAAAGATTAGAAGGTATGAATTCTTAAAGATCCTGTTGTGACCTTGAAATTTTCGAAAAATAAGAAAAAATACCAAATTATGAGATGTATTAACCATATTTCGTTTAAGGTGATAAGGAGACTGATAGTTTAATATTCCTACAATGATATGAATAGACCTTATATTACCATTGAATTTCACAAATTTACTTCATCGAAAATCCCACCACAGAATGTCACATGGGAAAATGCTTGGCCCTTCTCGAAATTGACATCTGCGCTGTGACCTATGGGCACTCGTGGCAGTGAGCCAGTGGTTAACGAATAGAGATTATACGTTGCACTGTCATAGTACGAGTCACGCTGGGGGTGCCGGTGATACAAAGACTAGGCTAAAACTGCAGTCCACTTCAGCCTGGATGCGAATACATTGTAGGAAGCATGGTTATGTGAAATTCAATGTAAACTTGAGGTCTACTAATATCATTGTGGCCTAATTTACTAGTCTTTAATCGCCTTAACAAAATAGGATGAATGCAGTTAGATTTACTGGTAGTCTATAACGTCTACTTAGAAACAGAAGACTACCAAATTATTCTATATATGAAAAGTTAGTTTCTATAAAGAAATTTTTGATAAAAATGATAAAACCGAAGCACCAGAGAAATTATAAATTCTTAAAACCAAGAATACAAAAGCATCGTACCACCCAACGAGAAAAAAGGGCTATTTTATAGCAGAATCAAAAGTTTAATTTAATACGCAGTGTGGGGTTAAGGGAGAATTAGAACCTTACGCATGGTTTGAATGGAAATAAATAAGAGAAAATAATCGAAGTTATGAAGACAAGATGGTGTGGCTTTTTGTGTGGCTGTAGTCTCTTTTCGTTGTATAGAGGTTGTTTGACCTTATTTTCACAACTTGGTCATATTGTACCACGTGTACCACGTCCACGGTTTTACTTTGGAAATGATCATGCAGACAATGGACTCCGGACTAGATGCGTTCCTCTAAGTCTTCCTACCAATATAACCAAGTTGCGAAAACAAGGTCAAACAACCTCTATACAAGAGAAAATAATGTTAAAATATGCAGTTGAACAAGGAATGAGAGGCAGGTACCTGCAACAGACGTTCAGTCTCTAGCGACAAGCCACCCGTTTTCGAGCGCACCTGCTTCACAAGACCAACCAAACTGCGACCAAACTGAACCTGCCTAAGGAGGCAACGCATCTCTGCAGCGTCTATAGAGCCGTCGTTAGTCTCAGGTGCGCTGATATGGGGCATCTTCATAGAAACTCCAGATGATGTGTCACCCTCGGATGCCGTTCGAGTTAAACAAGAGCGGTCAGCTCTCCTAGTTGATTCGTCTAATTCTATCTCCATACACTCGAGTCCATTTCCTAGGGCCACGGAATTTTCGGGCTCTAAGCGACTCTGAAGTGGCGAAATTCCTGCCAGCATGCAAGCCATCTTGGCATTATCGGCGTCTGAAAGGTTGACTCCAGTGTCATCATTAAGACCAAATCCATCATCATCATCATCACCAAAATCATCATCGTCATAGTCTTCATCAGCTTCCTCAACAATGTCCTCTTCTTCAACACGCTGTGCAGTACCTTCAGCATCCTCTTCAGTATCTTCATCCAGCCAATCGTCCTCTGGACCCATGAGCCCACCTACTGGACCGTTTCTGGTCTCGAATTCGGCAATCACATCAGGCCCGTTGTCAGTTGGTCCAATTTCTTTCATTGTGCCATTTGTCCTATTCGTGATCTGAATCCTATCAGAGGCTAAAGAGCCACACGATTGACGCAGTCGGCTCGGTTCCTCCGAGTCAGCCTGATGTCCAGGAGGATGTAAGCGCCGGCTGCGCAGTCGTTTTCTATTCCGAAGCTGACGTTGATGCACTTGATCTGTGGCCTCCGAGTCAACTTCCATATGAGGTACAGCACTAATGCAATTAGCCTGAAAAAAAATTCAGCGTTTATTTAGAGTTAAATTATGCCCAGATAATCCAAAGCAGTAAAGCAAAGCATAGAAAGCTAAGCATTTCAATGTATATAGCTCTAATCAAAGTACCAAATAGATGAAGAAGGATTTAAGTAAAACTGAAATTAAAGTAATGAATTGTATTGCTAATACAATAAACATTTTTATGGCAACCTATCTAAATAGAGCTTTTGTTAATTCAAAGGCCTTATTTAAGCCCGTTTTCACACCATTTACGTAAATTATTTGAAAAAATGTCTAATTCTTGGTTTCCTAAAATCGTACCGATGTGCTCTCAGAAGTAAGGAAATGGATAGGTAGGCTAATGAATTTATCAGTTAAAAAATGATCGTGATCATTTATGAATCAGGACAACTTCAAAATACACGAATAAAAGATGAACAGATGATTGATGAATTGATGCTGGTCGTAGCCTGCCAAGGAGAAAGACAATAGAGAAGAAAACAGCACCAGATAAACTGCACGACTATTACAATAGTATTCTGAGTATAGATAAGATTCAAGCCATCCATGAACAGTTGGATAGTTGACACAAATATAAGGCTATTAAAAGATTTTTTCACCTAATTTAAGGATGAATCCAACGATACAGGGATAATAGGTATATAGTCTTTCAGCTATGGATGAAATCCCATCAATATTTTAGTTGCGACAGTGACTTTAAATAAGTTCCTTAAAGTTCTAAACTTAAATTAGGAGGAAATTCGGAACCTGTCCTCAATCCCTCTTGATTCTGAAAAGCTGGATGTCCTGAAGAAAGGGTTAAATTTTTCAATTGGTAAAGAAGGGAACATTTTAGAAGATATCCTTATAGAAGTTATCAACATCTCGGAGAAATTACCAGAAGAGACCAAACGGGAGATGGAAATGGAATTAATCCCGAGAATTCTTTCCCATCAAAAGCAAATGAAAAGGAGCGGA